CTTCCGACACTTGAAGAAGACCTCCAAGGAGGCGGTTGGTGTCTACAGGTACAGTTTGGCTCTGGGACAGAGGAGGGGCAAAACTCTGTCTTGTCTGTGCATGTGACTAAAACATTGAGGGGATAAAGCAGGTCTGGGGATTTTCCCTCCTCCTCATCTCCACCCAAGTTACGTATTTGTGAAGTAATCCCCAGCAAAAAGTACTTGTTCCTTGCTGGCTTACCCTGGGGATGGCCGGGGCGCGTGCTCGGGGCAGGCGGGAGGGACCTGGTACTGCCCTCGTTAGCGTTCTGCTGCAGACGAGTGGCGAGACCGCAGCGACCCCTGTAACGAAGGACCCGGTTTCTGCAGTTTTGCCACCTTCTGTTTCTGGGCTTCGCTTGTATCGTTTGAAATCTTGCTGCTTCTTTAGGTCTCCCATCCACGGCCGGGGTCTGTTCTGCAAAAGGAACATCGATGCAGGTGAGATGGTGATCGAATATTCAGGCAATGTCATTCGCTCCATCCTCACTGACAAACGAGAGAAGTACTACGACAGTAAGGTGAGTTCTGGTCTTCTGGCGACACTCTTAAAGAGTGCGGGAGAGTGAGACAGGGGCTGCGGAGGCCGGACGGGCTGGTGGGGCAGCTGCCTTTGGGACATGGTGGCTGGGGGTGCCAGGCTGTCCGGGATCTTTCCCTTCTCGACGGGGCTCTGGCGGCACTTTGTGGTGTGTCCTTTGGGTGGGGAGAGGTCTGGGCCCCATCGTAGCATGGCTGAGGCGGGGAGCATGGGGACGGGTGGGTTCCAGCTCATGGGGCACCGGCAGAGCACTGGCAGACGCTCCCGGGGCTTGGGGCACGCTGGCTGTGCTGTGCTGTGCTGTGCCGGGCCGTGCCGGGCCATGCTGGGCTGCCAGCCCGCTCGCGTGGCTCTACCCGAGCCCACCCCACGTCCTCCCCACCCAGGGCATCGGCTGCTACATGTTCCGCATCGACGACTCGGAGGTGGTCGATGCCACCATGCACGGGAACGCGGCCCGCTTCATCAACCACTCCTGCGAGCCCAACTGCTACTCCCGGGTCATCAACATCGACGGCCAGAAGCACATCGTCATCTTCGCCATGCGCAAAATCTACCGGGGGGAGGAGCTCACCTACGACTACAAGTTCCCCATCGAGGATGCCAGCAACAAGCTGCCCTGTAACTGCGGCGCCAAGAAGTGCAGGAAGTTTTTAAACTAGAACTTCTGTCGGCTGCAAGCGAGCCCCAAGGGGCCCGGGGCCAACCAAAGCTTGGAGGAGCCCTCCCTGGCCGCGCAGACGGAGCGGGAGTGACGATTGGCCGGGCCCGGGCGCCGGACTGGGGCCGTTTCTCTGTCAGAGTCCACATCTTCATGTCTCGCATGCGCACACTCACCCTTGTGAAGGACACGGGCGACTGGAGAAGATCCTCAGTGTGATTATGTTTTTGCTATTCTCATTTCCCCCAACCCCGGTGTTTGTTTCTCAGCGTGGGGCTAACGAGCGGGAGAGGCGACAGGAGCGCGGGCGGGTGCTGTCCCCGCTCGGTCTCTCAGCTCGAGCTCCCCTGCTCCTCCTCGCCCGGGGGCTGTGGCAGGGGCTCGGCAGCACGGCGGCGTTTGAGCCATTTTCCTCCCAGGGAGCGGGGCCGTGTGTGCCCGTGGTTCCCCGTGGCTCCTCGGGCCGTGCTGCCACGGGGTGGCTGCAAGGACGGGTCCGGCTCGGCCGGCGTCAATGGGAGGGCTGAGCCGGGGGGCGTGGAGGAGGGTTTGGGCAGCGCTTCGCTCCGACATCCCTGCCCGAGCGTGGGGAGTTCTGCCGTCCCTTGGCAGAGAGGGGGCTTGTGCCAGCAGCTACGGCGCGGTAGGTCTTTGTGAGAAAAAGGTTCCCCACGGCAGCGCCCACCATCCCCAGCCTGGCAGGGAGCAGGGAGGGCTCCGGGGCAGAGCGGGAGCTGGGCAGGACGCGGGTGGAGGCTCCCGCCGGCTCCTGGGCTCGGCTCCGCCGCCCCGCGGGTCTCCTCGCACGGGTGGAGCTGCGTCACCGCGTCCCCTTTCCCGCGAGGCGCCGGAGGAGGCATCGGGCAGAGCAGGAGCTGCCCACGCGGGACGGGGGGCGGTCGGGACGGGGCAGCCGAGGGACCGAGCGCATCGGCAGCAGACGCGGCGACCCCGTCATCCTCGTTCGAGCAGCGTCGGTGCCCCTCCTGCCCGGGTCTGCCCTGCGCCTCCAGCATGGAAACAGAGAGAAGTAAAAAGCCCCAAGCCGAACTAACGACAACATTGGATTTTACTCTGTTCTGTTTACAGTTTAGTATTTAAGGTTTTATAAATGTAAATATATTTTGTATATTTTTCTATGAGAAGCACTTCATAGGGGAAAGCACTTATGACGAGGCTTTTTAAACAGTGGTATTATCCTAATTTAAGAGAATCTCTTTTTAATGATTTTTTTATTTTCATAGGACGGTTGTAGGAAATACCTGGCTGGACACAGTCTGATACTTTCTCCAGAGGGGGGCGGGTACACTTTATTTTTATTTTTTACTCTTGTTCTGCCTTTTTGACTTCAGTAACTGTTCCCAGGAGGTTTGGCTGGACCTTAAACTTGACTTACCCGTTGAGACAGGGGCGGGAGGGAGAAGTTCGGAGCTTAGGAAGCGCCCCAGGCAGGAGGCGTAATTCTGCCTTGCCCTGCACACGTTTAAAAAGGAAAAACGAGGGAAAACGGGAGACCTGAGCCCCGATCCCTCTTTGGCAGGGAGGCTGGCCCGGGGCACGCACCTCACCCCACAGCCTCTCTCTGCAGGTGGGTGAGTTTTTTCCTGCGGCAGAGGGAGCGTGGGCAGCGCCCTGGCTTTTCCCAGCCCTCCCAGGGTGGCTCAGCCGCTCGGGGGCTGCTCTGGAACGGTGGGACAGGGACTGGGGGGCCGCGAACTCCCCAGCGCTCGCGGCGCCCCGGACCCTGCAGGCCCCGAGACCCTTCCCCTCACCGGAGAACAAAACGCGGCACTGGGGGGGCCGGGCGCTGCCGGCTCCCTGTCCTTATTGCACTGTGTGACGGCGTTTGGGTGGTGACTGCAGGAAGCAAAGTCTGGTTGACGCTGCATTTGTGACTGAGATGATTTGATGCACTGACAGTTCGGGAACGCACATACCGGCCGGGGGTCTGGGCCCCGCGCTCCTGGGCCCTCTCCCGTTTGGCGGCCGAGCTGGGGGCCAGCCCTCACCTGGGCATGGCCTGGGGCCTCCCGTCCCCCGGCACTGCCGCCCCGGGTGCCTCTTCCCCAGTGAGCGGATCCGTTCTGGCCGCGAGAGGGGGCTCCCGCCGGGACCCCTGCCCGCAGCCACCCCGCACGGGGAGCAGGGTCGGGGGGAGCGGCGTGCCGTGGGAGCCCCCAAACCCGCCGGCTGCCCGCTTTGCTGCTACCCCCCTTGCCGCTGCCCCGGTGGGAGCCGCCGTGGTCAGTGAAACCACCCGTTCCCCCGGGACGCTGCACCACGGCGTTGAGCGCGTGGGCTCCCCACCACCTGGGCTGGCTGTGCGTGCCACGCAGCTCCCCCGTGTATGAATGTATATTTTATAAGGACTGACACAGATCGCGGTATCTGAAAATACTAGAAAAAAAAAAAAAAACACACACAAAAAAGAGGAACCTTAGGGCGTTTATTTTTTCTTTGTACAAACCGACGTGGTTTTTTTTTTTTTAAGGAAAAGCGGGTCATTGCAAAGGGCTGGGTATCTTTTCTTTCTGGTTTCCTTTCATTTTGAAGCAATACCAGGTTCTTCAGCGAGACGGTCTTCGTGCAGAATCATGCCACCCAAACCCATACTACTGGTCCACTCTCGCCACTCTCAAGTTTTTTTTATAACTATAAATACGATATATATAGGAACTAATATAGTAATGCACCGTGTAATGAAGCCTAGTTCAGTATCGGTTCATGGCTTTTAATTCTCTTAACACTATAGATAAGGATTGTGTTACAGTCGCTACCGATGGCTGGGAAAGCCGCGCGGCGCGTTCCCTGCTGGGGCGAGGGCAGCCGGGGGCGAGCGGCGCGGCCTTTCACTGCCCTTCGTGTTACCAGTCAGTACTTGTACCACTTGGTTTCTTCCTTTTCTTCCTCGCGTTTTGGTTATGAATGTTGGGGTACCACCTGCATATAGGGGAAAAAAATGTGCTCTGTGCTTTCCTGGTATCTTTTTAACGAGGTACAGTAGCTTTGTCTATCAACCGAGAACTATACTTGTGGTGTTTCTTTTATTGAACTTAACAGTCTCTTTAGTAAATACAGGTAGGTGAATAATTGTTTCAAAAAAAAAAAAGCAAAAAAAAAAAAAGCTCTGCAAAGGCAAGGTTATGTTCTAGAGATACATTTCTTGACAACTTATCATGTATAACAAATCTCTTCTTTTTTTTCTTGTGTTCTTCCAAGCTTCTGGTTGTTTGTTTTTTTTTTTTAAAAAAAAAAAGAGGAAACGTGTCTAAAGTACATCAGTGTTAACTCCCTGTCACAGGGAAGAAGGAAATACTTTAATAGTTTAAAAAAATGCTGAAAGCTCTGCAAAAGACTGAATGTAAAAATAAAAAAGTGTACATAGTTGTAAAAAACAAAAAAACAAAGGAGTTTTTAAACATGTTTATTTTCTATGCACTTTTTTTTATTTAAGTGATAGTTTAATTAATAAACATGTCAAGTTTATTGCTGCAGAGGGTGGCTCTCGATTTCTTCTTGAGGGTTGAGAAGCCGATTCCCGCCGTCCTGGAGGGTGGCAGGGGCTGGGGCCACCCCGGGCCAGGGGTCGGTGTTGGCGCGGGGCCGCGGCAGACGGGTCACCTTGGGAACCTGCGGCCCTTCCCCCTGGGCCGGTGCCCGTGGGCAGCGTCCGGCGGCGGAGCCCCACGCCCGGGCTGCGATAGGACGGGGACGCGCTGCC